AAAACAAGGCAGCAAAGCTGTCAAATGTACAGACAAAAAAAAAAAAAAAAAAAAAAAGATGCAAAAGAGGTCATTTTGTAAATTTTGATTCATAATAAATAATGCTTATAATAGCACAGTCAATCAACACTGATTTTTCATCATGCACAACAGGTAACATGGTCAATAACAGGAGCAGATCCAGAAATATTTTCAGACAGTATTCTAAAGTATTTTTGTTGATCCATCCTCCATTTTGATGGTCTTCCAACAGAAAAAAATAGATACCCATCAATATAAACTTTAAAATCTGACTGTCTTCCAAGAGACCCAGTAGGTGGTCTCAATCCACCCCTTCAATAAGATTAGTTTCAGCACCATGAGAGTTAAAATTCACATGATGAAAGTCCCAATATATGAAAAATGATGACAGTGCATAAGATAATATTACATAGTGTTTAAAGACATGAATACCAATACAACTGCTTATGTGGAAATACAGAAAATGTGCGGAGCCTCAGGTGTATGTGAGTTAAAAGTCACATCTTATAAATGCCAGTGTTGGAGCAAAAAATTAAAAAGAAAACAACAAAAATATTATCTAATAAAGCTGTTATTCACTGCTTCCTTATTATGGCCACTATGTTATCTAGCAGAGAGCTTAACCTTTGGAAGTTATAGGGAAATATCAACAAGTGTGCTTTATGAAATCTCATTTAATGGCCACTTAATTAGGCAAATGAGTTTATAGCACTAAACTTGGCCTAGAGAATACCCAAGGGGAATTTAAAGACTGACCACACAAATTTGTCTATCAAAGGTCTTCAGGCCCATAAGTCACACCTTAAGAAAAGCAGAAAACCATAATGCGCAAAAACAGGAGACTGACAATTCTGATGCAATAATACATTATGTTTAACTGCACAGTCAACAACAAATTTTAATTATGCACAACAGGTAACACTGATGAAAGTAAAAGCATAAGGCTTCAGGCCCATTGAAGTTCAAGTTTACAATTAGAAAGTGCCAGAATGAGAAAAATGAAAATTTCACAAAAAAATGCATAAATTTAATAAAAATGATAATCCAATAGAGCTGGTTTTCTAATATGAGCTGTGTGTCAATCCTAAGAATCATTCTTGTAAGACTAGTTAAAAAATAGAAAGTAACACTTTACTTTACATAATATAAATGGTGGCAGAGCACAAAGTAGGTTTTTTGTCAATTCTGATGCAACATTACATAATGATTAACTGTATAAATACCACCAATTTTAAAATATCTACTATTAAAAACATGGTCATTAAGAAAATTTGATCACCCCTGGGCTTCATGCCCAAGGGAGCTCTAAGTCCCACATTGAAAATTGCAACATGTGAAAGATAAAAATTTTCACAAAAAAACTGTATGACTTCCAAACAATAAACTAATGAGACAATTTTACAACTGAAGCTGTATTTCAGTCCTATANACACATCTGTGTCTGTACATAAAAATGATGACAGTGCATAAGATAATATTACATAGTGTATAAAGACATGAATACCAATACAACTGCTTATGTGGAAATACAGAAAATGTGCAGAGCCTCAGGTGTATGTGAGTTAAAAGTCACATCTTATAAATGCCAGTGTTGGAGAAAAAATTAAAAAGAAAACAACAAAAATATTATCTAATGAAGCTGTTATTCACTGCTTCCTTATTATGGCCACTATGTTATCTAGCAGAGAGCTTAACCTTTGGGAGTTACAGGGAAATATCAACAAGTGTGCTTTATGAAATCTCATTTAATGGCCACTTAATTAGGCAAATGAGTTTATAGCACTAAACTTGGCCTAGAGAATACCCAAGGGGAATTTAAAGACTGACCACACAAATTTGTCTATCAAAGGTCTTCAGGCCCATAAGTCACACCTTAAGAAAAGCAGAAAACAATAATGCACAAAAACAGGAGACTGACAATTCTGATGCAATAATACATTATGTTTAACTGCACAGTCAACAACAAATTTTAATTATGCACAACAGGTAACACTGATGAAAGTAAAAGCATAAGGCTTCAGTCCCATCGAAGTTCAAGAATGAGAAAAATGAAAATTTCACAAAAATATGCGTAAATTTAATAAAAATGATAATCCAATAGAGCTGGTTTTCTAATATGAGCTGTATGTCAATCCTAAGAATCATTCTTGNTGCACAGTCAATTTTTTAATAATGAAATAAAAGTATCATGGATATTCAGAAAATGTGACTAGCCCATAGAGTTCAGAGTCATACTTTGAAAATCCCAAAATGTAAACAAGAGAAAACTGTATTGAAAGAGTTTATTTCCATTTTCAACACCTCTTTTACATAAAACAAAATATTCAATTTCCTGTCACTTTTATATGATCAATCAAAAAAATATGTTGTCAAAGCAAAAATATCAATAGAACAATTATAAATGTCCAACTTACTCCATTCTGAGATTCTGAACATAGTGAATGGTTGAATGTGACAAACTGTAAAGATATGAGTTTTTTTTTTTTCATTTTTGATACTTATTAAACAATACACAATATCAGGTTTACCATCATTTTTATATAATCGACTAACAAGGTTGTAAAGATACAGAAAATGTCAAAAGAACAACTTAAAATATCTAATTAGTTAAAAAATGAGACAGTTAACATGCCTGAGAATTAAATTTGAGGAAAAAACTCTTATATACAAAAAAAGGTATAACTTCACCAAACTTTAACTGATCAAGCTTATTTTCAAAACTTTATCTGTATTTCAGTAACACTGATCACTACTGTGAATTTCAAGACAATTGGCCAATCGATTTTCCTTAAAATGTGTTATAGGTGTTGCAAAAATGCTGAAAAAAGTGAAAAAAAAACAGCATAACTTCACTAAAAAGGGCCCGATCATGCTGATTTTCGAACTTGACCTGCGTATTATGAATATTCATCAGTTCTGTAAATTTGAATACAAAATGTTAAACGGTATTCCACTTATCGTGTTATCGCTGAGTGCACGGCGACGACGGCGACGACGGCGACGACAGACGCAGTTGATGGCTATATGTACAGACACATCTGTGTCTGTACATAAAAAGGACAGAAAAAACATGGAGTTATCAAAAAAGTGTTTATTGCCAAAGGAATCTAAATTACCTTGTTACATTTTGTCAGTAAGGCCGTATTCACAACAGCGGACTAACTAGTCAACGGATCAAATATGGCCGACCTTCTTGAATGCTTGTTGCGTACGTTATCCCCGAGGGGAATCTATTCACTGTCTATTTGGGGTTAACAAGTCAAGCTTTTACGTGGGTCGCCATATTTGATGCCAACGATTACATTAAAATACTGAGTATAAGAGATGTATGCTTTTTTTGGAATAGGCTCCTGGGTGCGGGCCTGCTATAAAATCGTTATCCAAAATATTATACTGTTAACCATATTCCTTATATGAGAAATGACACATTTTCCAAAACTGCAGTGTTTCATTTGACTGATTTGATATACTTCATCTACAAAGAAGATAAGACGTAATTAAAGCGGTTTATTACGCAGGCAATGAGGTTTTGATGTGCAAAATATACGGGCAGATAGAAACTTTTGGCGCATTCACTTCATTAGATATGCGACGTCTTTGCTACTTTGGAAACGTTTTCACTCCTGTTTACAGGAGGTAGAAGGTTTCAGAAATGAGTCCTATTGTGTTCGGGATTTGTTAGGGTTTTTCAATATGTATATATACATTAAGTCTTAAGCTGTAGGTGTATTAATATAATATTTTTAAAATTCCCTTCGTTAACAAAACATATCAGATCATTTTTAATGCAGATCAATTATCAACAAGTAATGGAGCAGGCGGTTTAAGGCACAGTAACGATAGTGATTACTCAAAGGATGAATAAGAATGGGGTGAAGGGAGAGATTATACAGGGGCGGATTAGGCCGTCTTCTGGGTCTTCCGGAAGACAGTCAGATTTTTAAGTTTACATTGAAGGGAATCTAAATTTTTCTGTCGGAAGACGGTCAAAAATGGGGGATGACGCAGCAAAGATAATTTGGAAATTGTCAGAAAATATCTCTGGATCTGTCACTGTTATTAACTTTTTTCATCAGGAAAAATATAATTGTGAATGCCATTATTAGCTCTATGAATTAGTTGGCCTTTATCTTTTAATACCCTTGTCTCCCTTGTTTTATGA